ATAATCTACATACAATATATAATTATTGTTATGTTAATAATACTATAGTTGAATTTTTTGTATTCCTTTTTTTATTGATTATATCGTATGTTGTTCTTATTAAATGATGTAAGGTTTTTTAGGAGTAAAATTAACATAAAATTTTACTTAATAATAGTGATACTAGTTATGGTGATAATGATAATAATGACAATAATGATGGTCATTGTTACCCAATCGAGTACGCAACTGCTCTAAAGGGTGAGGATACGAGCAAATACACCTATCCAAAAGAAGAAACGTAAAAGCGTCACACAAAGAGACAAAGAGAAGACCTGGACGAAATGTCTACGTCTTTACTTGCCTTTGGAAAAGCAACACATAGCTATTCCAAAGCACAAGTAAAGAGGGGCAATTGTAGACACTCAATTTCGTCCGGGAGGCACACAAACAAGAAAATGGACCTACATCATGAAGGAAAGGAGCTCCCGAAGCAGGCAAACAACAAGACAGGATATCAGAAGGCCTAAAGGTCAAATAAGGATGTTTTAGTAGCCCGGAACGGGCTGTTCCAGAATTAGAACGGGCCGTTCCGAGCCTCGCAATGGGCCGTTTCAATATCAAAACGGGTCGTTCCAACGTGACTAAAATAACTAAAAATCCAATACCGGAACGGGCATGGGAAGCCTAAATTCTCAAGTTGCATAGTCAAGGGAAGAGTTAAAAACGAGAAGAGTTTAACTGCTTAGGCTACTTAGTCAAGCAATGGTCAAAATGGTACACATATCTTCGTCATCAACTTTTCTATTAGCAACATGCAATCATTGCCATAATGAGATTATATTGTCCCATGAATGAGTTACACCCTTTACCTCACAATAGAATATGTACAAATTAGGATTGTTTCTAGCACTCGCCCTCTTTGTAAACACAACGGGAACACAACTTTCTTCTTATTGGCTCCCCATCTCTCCTTTTCTTTTGGGAGTACTCAAACTAGTATTTAAAGACAGGTACGTGTTCAAGGAATCTTGTTACTTTTCAACAAGAGTGAATGAAGACCAATTTTTATTACTTTTAAGAACTTTAATTTAATACTATGACAATTCAGCTTCACCTACGCCATAGATGAAGCTTTGTCTACCAATGTTTTGAATGAATTAGGACAATAACATCGAATCAAACTTCGTGTTTCACTAAAGCTTTTGTTGGCACTCAAATCGGGCGACAAAGTTTCAATGTAGAAATAATGTAACACATAATTTGCAATAACATGAATTGATTCACATAATCTACATACAATATATAATTATTGTTATGTTAATAATACTATAGTTGAATTTTTTGTATTCCTTTTTTTTGTGATTATATCGTATGTTGTTCTTATTAAATAATTTAAGGTTTTTTTAGGAGTAAAATTAACATAAAATTTTACTTACTAATAGTGTTACTAGTTATGGTGACAATAATAATAATGACAATAATGATGGTCATTGTTACTATCACGTGAGAATAATCGCAATAAGAATATGAATATCAATTTATTTAGGCTCACATTGACTTTAATAAAAAAAAAACTCAATGTGCTAATTATATTAGCATCAAGTATAGTAACTCATGGTATGTGAGATCAACCTTTCAAAAGAAGGAAAAATTAGAGAATATGCATGCGTCTGTGTGTTGTGTCTCTTTGTTTCACAAAGAGAAGAAGAATTTCGTGAAGAAGAGTGGAGCAACCAACAAATTTTGGAGAAGTATTTGGTATCAATTTCTGTATATTTTGGTTCCCTCTATTGTTTGATTTGATACCCATTTGTGAGTTTTTCTTGTATTATTATTCACCTTATTGATGAGGAGTTATTTCTACTGATCCTTGGTGGTTCCAAGAGAATTTATGATGTACCCATTGATTATTATTAGTGGAGTTTTACTGGATTAGGTCTCATGAATTTTTACTTCACATTAACTATTTTTCCACGTTAAAATTTAGTGTTTGTTGATTTCTATTTTTTTCTGTTTTGTGCATCTTGCTGAAATTATCTTGTTACTTCTAGAACATGTTATTACTTATATAGGAAAAAGGAGATTGAATTTTCTTTCTGCTTAATTGTTATTATTTGTTAAATAATGACAATAGTAGTTATGATGATGATAGTAAGGATGATATTAACTTTTACATAAAAGAGTTTTAGTTAAAAATGTGATTTTAATTAAAAATTAAAATCAATTCATTAACTTTAATATTAAAAAGGCTCAAATGCTTTTTGGTATCTCAAGTGCAATAGTTGTGCAATTTTAGTCATCAAATTTAATTGAATAATTTTAATTCTCAAATATTACAATTGTATAATTGTAGTCCCTCAATTTTTAATTGAGTAATTTTAGTTTCTAAAGTACTGTAATTGTGATTTTATTTTCTAGTATCACAATAATACACATTTTTATCATTTTAAGTTAAATATATTAATAATTTTAATAATAATAAATATATCATTTAACACATAAATGAAAATTAATTATATGTAACTTAAATAGGTCAAAAATCATATATTTACGATATTCAATGGACTAAAATTGCTTCATTAAAATTTAGGAAATCAAAATCATACAATTACGATAACTAAATAACTAAAATTGTTCAACTAAAATCTTAAAGGCCAAAATCATACAATTACAATACTAGAAAGATAAAAATGTAACTGGGTAAAAAAAAATACTTTAACCTTATCATAATAACACATTGTTTTATTTGAATGCACTTCAAATGGCGACCAGGTTGGTTAAAGACTGATAACATCGGTGTGGAAGATTTTCCCTTTCATTTACCATTTCGTTTCTATTACTCGTTGATAACATGAAGTGATTGAAATAATGGGAACAAAAATGAGTTGTCTCTCGGTGCAAGTAAGCCGCACAGATTAATCCTTCAACCCTTACCTTATTTTTCACTGATCGTTTAGAAATGCCTATGAATCTACAAAATTAAATAACTACGTGATGGTTTCAAATATAATTCAGCAAATAGATTTTATTAATTTTCTTGTAACGTTGATGATTTCAAATAAATTTTATTAATTTTAGCTTTAAAAAAATAGTCGATCCTTTTAAACACTTTTTTAAGCCTTTCACAATCTTTAGTTTTCTCTTAACTATATGAATCTAAGTTTAATTTAATCATATATATATATATAAGTGATTTGTAATGTACGAATTTTTATTATTTATATATACTTTATTTTAGTTATATCATTATTCAATATAAAATTTTTAATACATTTCCTCACATTTTGAGTGTAACATTTATAAAACTCTAAATATATAATGGTACTCTAGTTAACTTGGCCGGTTCCCTCTAGCATTTAATATTACATTTAAGTTTTATCTAAAAACAAATATATTATCGATTATCTTGTCAACACATTTCTAAAAAGATGTTATATAACTAATATTATTGTAATTAATAATGTATGAAGAGTTGCTATGGTACAAGGCTCTCTAAATTATTGATGCATGTTTTTGTGGCTACAAATGAGCAGTTAGGGAATAATGTTCCGTTATCAGTGGTTCTAATTAATTAGCACGAGCATCCACTATTAATTAATATGATTTAATATTAATTAATATAAATAGGGCATGATTTCTGACAGAATTTTTGATGGAATTTCTGACGGAATAATCCGATCGAAAATTTCTGACAGAAATTCCGTCAAAAATTTCTGACGGATATAAATCCGTCAGAAATTTCTGTCAGATTTTGATCCGTCGAAAAATGTATGATCCATCAGAAATTTTTCGTCGAAAATTTTTTTTTTTCCGACAGATTTAAAATTTGCCTTTTGTTTGTAGTGATTTTTTTTTAGTATTTTTTTATGTTTAGATGTCATGTCACTAAATGTTACTATTTAAATATTAGTAAACGATGATTAGCAAATGTCAATTTGATGTCGAGATCAAAATTTTATATTTTTAAGAATAAGAGAACCAAATGTCTTTATTTTAAATTAAAGATACCAAAATTAGTAAATGTCAATTTGATGATAAGACCAAAATTTTGTGTTTTCAAAAATAAGAGAACCAAATGTCTTTATTTTAAATTAGAGATACCAAAATTACAAATTGACAGAAATAAAAAAGATCAAAAATGCAATTTTTTCAATAAATTTTTTTTTATATATCCAAATGAAATTAAACATCTTAAAATTATTTTTTTTTGACAAATTTACCCAAACAAAAATTTTATTATAACTATAATCAATTATAAAAATAATTGATTACCTATATAATCGATTAAGTCTATTGTGTGTTTATTGTCCCAACTAGTCTTTATGTACTCAATTTTTTTTTTTTTTAATTTACAAGAAGAAAAGTTCAATCAGTTATATATGCCGTATATGCATATATACTATTTGACCATTTGATTAACCAAATCTCTTAACTCAATAATTATAAACCTATCTTGAGATACAAAAATAAATTTGATAATCTTATATTTAATTTCTATTTATATTAAAATAATGTTTGATTAATAGAAGTCACATCTCATAAACACATATTAGTTTTTACTTTTCAATTATCATAAAAAAATATACTAATTGACTTGAAAAATGTTATACTTAACTCAATCAACGTAAATTAATTATCAACTTAACCACTCTCACTTATTTAATTGTCAACTTAACCACTCTCACTTATTTAACTCTATCTTGGTACATGAAGATATATTAATTTAACTTGCCGAATATGTTTGGAGCTATATATAAAGGAACCGACACTATTATGTGCGGGTATCTTATACTTTATTATTCTAATAATATTATTTTTTATGTTCAAAGTTCACCGACAATATTTTATTTACAGCATAAAATCTTGATAATGTATTCCAGCAAACTTGCTTTATACATTTTGTTTAAATTTAATATACACAGGCACCAACCCCTCTTAGAAAGACAAAAGCATATTTCAATTTCATGCTCATATATGTCAATGATATGATAAAGATGCCCCTTCTATATATATATAGCACTATACATAGACATATGAATACGTGCCAAACGTAGAAAAGAGGCATGATAAAGGAATTCAACACCCAAACAGAGATCAGTGTTGGATTGGAAGCCCTCTGGGCAGCTCTGTCCAAGGATTTCATAAACATAGTTCCAAAGGTACTCCCAAATATTGTGAAAGATGTGCAACTCATTGAAGGTGATGGAAGGGTTGGTACAATCCTCATCTTCAATTTTTTGTCTGGTGAGTGTTGCTTCTCACTTTTCAAATATTTCCTCTTTTTTTTTTTAATATTTAAGAATCATTTTATTTTCTTATAATGGTATCACTCAATCTACTAAATCAAAGATTGATCTTACTCGCGATACTATGATTCTCACTCAGTCTAAAGGTTTTTGCACTTGATGAAAAACAATTACAAGATTTTTTTGCTAAATAAATAATGTGAATACAGGGTACATAACCATTATGACAATTCATATATTGTGTTATATAAGAAACAATTTGACTATTTTTTTTATCTTTATTAAAAGAAACTTTAACTTAGTTTAAAATGTATTAATTGATTGAAATATATTAACGAATCACCTACTTAATTCACATGCAATATTATTGTCTAACAACACTTATTGGAATGAACCTTAGATATATCCCCAAGTTACCAGAGGGAGAGGATCACAGAGTTTGATGAGATTTCACATGAAATTGGGCTGCAAGTGATTGAGGGAGGTTATCTGAGTCAAGGATTGTCATACTACAAAACAACTTTTCAATTATCTTCAATTGAAGAGCAAAAGACTTTGGTCAAGGTGAAAATCTCTTATGACCATGAATCCGACATAGAAGAAAGGGTCCAACCTACCAAGACATCAGATTCCACTATACTCTATCTTAGACGCCTAGAAAAATATCTGCAGTTAAATGGTGCTTGAAGAAAAATAATATTTATTGTAATATTGTCTTATATTATTTTTATTTTTAAATATTTTATAGAAAATAGTTTTTTTGATGCTTTTACTATTTTTCTATAAATATTCAAAAATAAAAATAAAATAATATGATGTTATTATAAATAAGTGCCGAAAATAAAATCTATTTTCTGAAACCAAACATGTCTTATGGTGTGTTTAGTTTCACGTTTCCCGGGCTTGACTCACGCAAACGACGTGAAAATAAGACGCTATAACTTTTTACTTCTGCGTCAAATCGGTTAAAACGTGAATCGAAAACGTGAATCCAGACATGCACTTAGTAGGCTAGTATTGTAATATTAGTAATCTGGGGCTTGTTGCTGTACTTGTATCTTTGGTTTTGGAGAATATTGTTTTACTTTTTCCAGACAGGAAATCTATATAACAATAATGTTGATTTGTTTCTGAACCATATAATTTTGGTTGAAAGGAAAGTGAATATATGGTTATAATTATTTTTTTTCTTCTATTTAATGGCAAAGAGGGAGAAAAAAGGTTTATAAAAAAGTTCACAGCATAGAATATGTTACATACAGGGTTTACCAATTACCACGAGAGCTCTGACAATATTATGCTAAAAAGGGGAAAAGATTCAAATATAGGTTGGATCAAATTTAAATTTGGAATCAAATCAATTGGGGGATATATAAAGTTAAAGAATCAATGCGATTGGATCAAATATTTTTCTTCTCATCAAAATCAATCCATTTATGTTCCCAAACACTCCCACCTTTTAAAGTACCAAAAAAAAAACTTTCTTTATCTCAATAGCCAGTGAAGGAAAAAGAAAAGCAAAAGGCCTTTGCAAATGCCAAACACTTCATAATGTAGAATGGAAGGATTGTGGAACTCATCAAACAATATCCAGAGAAAAAAGATGCTGAATTTTGTGTATAGTTTTTGTTTTTTCAACTGGTATAGTTCTCGTCTATTGCACCAGTCACATAAGTTTTCACACCTGTTTAAAATTATTATGTAACTTATAAGTATGGAAAAAATAATTAAAGATTCAATAGGGTAGATCCAGATTTTCTCTCCTTTCTTGTTGTAATTATTCAAATGTTAATAATAATACACATTAATATATATAAGAGTTACACAACAATGAGTAACAGACCCATATAAAACAAATAAGCAACAAATGTTCAGACATTATTTTTAAAAGGTTTAAGACACTAGCCTCAACCATAGTTTACTAATATTTTGACAGTAACCATATATATAATTAATGGCAATTCTCATTTCTTGCAAACGATTCCCAAGCCATAAGAAAACTTGGAGCAATCAAGGGTGGCCATGAACTCTGAATTCACTTTAGTGTGATATGATGATTGGTGTGAGAAGACACAAGCAGCACAATTTGGAGAAAGCAAGGAGTTAGTCCTGTATGTGTCCTCTCCTCCAACAACAGGCATTGCCACACCAACCTTTGCAGGGTTCTCAAAATCTTCCCTATAAGTCCTCCCAAGCACACCCTCCACTTTAGGGGACAACCCAAAGAACCTGAACTGAACCTCCAAGTGAGCAAAGCAATCATCACTAGGCACTTGGTAGTTGTGAATTGTGTCATCCTCTTTGGTCACAGGCACCACATTGACCAATATTTCAGCAACATCCTCTAGTGTGACAATGACACTGTTCATGGCAGCCACTCTCTCCACTTTCACATCCTTTTGTGGAGAGTGCCAAGTGGAAAGAGGGCCCTCAGGGACAACAAGAGGGTTACCATTGTATGTGAATTTGAGATGATCAACATTTTCATTCCATTGGGGTGTCTTGGGGGCTTCAAGTGAGAAGGTTTTGGAGTTGAAGAGGATTCCTAGGGCTTGAATCCATGTGTAGTCTCGGGCTCTACCTGCTGGCCTGTGTCCAATGAAACGAGCATTGATTTGAAGGGCTGAGTCTGAGACTAAGGTGAAGTGTTCATTGCTCTTTCCATGGAAGTAGAACACTCTCCCATCCCCACCAATGAAACGAGGGTCGTAACACCCTGATCCTGGTGCATTGCAGTTTGGTTTGCGACCTACAAATCACACACACACACACACAAAAAAAAAAAAAATTGTATCATGCACGTTGACTTGTTTACATTATGTTGTGTGTGATACAGATTTTTTCTTGTGGTGCCTTGTTCACTTAGACTAAAGACTAATTTCTTATACCACTGTGACAGATGATGCTCTAACAAGTTTTTGCACACAAAGAGAATCCATTATGATACTACAAAAAAATTGTAATACAGTAATAAATATCCTATAATAATATAATATTTGACATTAAAAATTATTTATACTATTTATACAATAAATATAATATATGTTGATATATTATTAAGAAGTGTGAATATAAATTATAATGATATATAAAATATGTCATTAAATCTTATTTAAAATTAATATTAAAATATCAAATAGATATATATACTTATATATATTATACTTATAATTAATGATATTTTTTATATGTCTGTAATAATTTTTGTAGTGTGAGTTCTCATATGTTATTCTCATACATTTATAACGTGCAAGTGCAAAGTATTTAACCACTTCGCTAACCTATCAAGTTGATACGTACTTGTTTATTAAAGGATAAATTATATTTTTAAATTTATTTTTAAAATATTCATTTTAATCTTTTATCTTTTAAATTTTATGTCAATTTAGTCTTTTTGAATCATTTTTTAACTAATTCAAGAATTAAAAATTGTCTTATAAGATTTACTTATATATTGAATGTAATTGAAATTCAAACCTAAAGTGCTATAAACATAGTGAAAATCAAAAGATTCAAAAAAAAATTATAATTTCATATTATTTTCTAATTATTATAGTGAAAATCAAAAGATTCAAAAAAAAATTATAATTTCATATTATTTTCTAATTATTCATGAGATATATTTTTTATATGATTATCACTATATTTATGATCCTTTTAAATTCGAATATTAATTATGCTTCATGGATTTCATTTGGGTGAATCTAATGATATAAGTTTTACGTTTTCAATCAATAAAAAATTAATTTAAAATTATGTCAATAAATTGAAAATGATCATTTTTTTTAAATGATCAACATAATTCAAATATAAAAAATAAAAAGGCTAAAATGAATATTTTAAAAAATAAAGAATCAAAATAAATTTAAATATAAAATAAGTAATAAAAATATAATTTAGCATTTATTAAACTAGATAGACAAATATCATTTGATTAATATATGAAAGGATGGTTTTTGACTTACTTCTACATACAGCTTTGCATATAGGTTTGTCACAATCAATTTGACAGACCTTAGCCTTAGGATCTGTTGATTCACTGCTTGGGCACTCAGCTGGACATCTAATGTACTTTCCATAGCAACGGGTTCCTTTGGTGCTACATTGCCTGTAATAATATGCATTGGCCTGGATCATACATGACACCAAAAATAGCACCACAATTAGGATGGAACTGGCTTTGCTCATTTCCATGCTTTAACTCTCTATATCAGTGAAACACACAGATCTAGAAGAGATTAATTGATGCAGCAACACAATCTTTCATGTGCTATTTATAGATGCAAATGCAACATAAACTATGTTGCTTGTTAATTGTGAAGGTGGCTTTTGCAAACTTGTAGTCTAATCTATTGCTAGCTAGCTCAAACTCAAAGCATCAACATGTGTTTCTATGATTCATTGCATGCAGAAACATCAAAAGGATTCACATAAGATTGTTAATTGTCTTCTTATATAAGGGTACGTGAAGGTGTTAATTAATTCCTTCAGCTGCAAAATTGGGGGATGAACTTAAGATCGATGGACAAGGCAAGCTTATGGGAGAGGCATATGATACTTTGAGGGTGAAATAATAATATAATACTATTAATTATAAATATGAGATAGAGTGAGAATTCATAAAAAGTTTAGCTTATTATTCTTTTGTGATGCGCGTTATGTGCTCCTCACTTCTCTGGGTTATTACTTGTTAGTGGTTATAACTTGTGCCATTATTTATCTACATATGTTGCTCTCATGTACATAATTACATGCATGATATTTAACAATTAATGTATGCTGAAAATATATTGCTGCTTAATTCTATAAATGTTCAACACTTTGGAGTTTGTTGTATGGCATACGCAATTCCTTAACAAGAAAAGAAAACGAAATGTCGAAAGATATTACCATGTTTGAATATAAATTAGAAGTGTTTTTGAGGGTTCTTTTTACTAAAAATAAAGAGTAATTTTTAATAGAAAATTTTTTAAAAACACTTCTAAAATTTATCCAAACACACTCAAATATTATTGAAGGGCCGTAGGCACACGTTGATGAAATGGATCCGATCATGCCTGAACCAAAGTATACCAAACCAAACTCTTAGCCACCAGATTCAACCATGAACGGAATGTTATAGTTCAATTTTATAACATAATTCAAAATGATAGATCATAGACCACTTTCAATCAGTTGACACCACAAACTAGGCATGGGGTTTAACTGGTTGAATCAACCGACGAGTAATCAATCGTATAAAACATAAGAATATTTTCTGTTTTTACCTTCCATGATTGTTTTAGGTTTAAATGTGTTTTTTGTTTTTTAAAATATCAGTTAATTATTTTAAACTTTGTAAATTGTTTTTTCAGTTTTAGTCCTTACTTTTGACAAAAACATGTAATGTGATTTTAATCTACTTTAAACATACGCTTTTTATTTTTATTTTAAGGACTAAAAATGAATATTTTTTTTTACAGGAATAAAAGATATTTTATGTACTGAAATTTTATTTAAGACATTTTAATTATGTTTAAAATTTATGTTTAATGATAAGAAACATATGCGCTTTTGCGAAATATAGAAAAACTAGGTTTTAAAACGATAGCATAGATCACATGAAATGAATGTATCAAATTAAGTCTTAAATTTGTCAATAATGTATTAGATTGAATATATCATCGGTCACAGTCTCATATGAATATGTGTGTATTATTATATTTATTATGTTTGATATTAAAAATGGAAGAAATTAATCTTTCCCAAACAAGCTTTTAATTTTTATAATAATTATATATATAATATAATTAAAAATTCTTTAATACCTAAAACAACATTTATATAGCTCAGACTTGCACTCCATAGTCCTTATCATGGGGTTTTCATAATTTTTTATTAAGAGGTTCATGGTTATTAACTTAGAAATATTAGAACTATTAGGTGATTTTACTAAAAACTCAACAACTCCATATTCACCTTATGAACTTTTTAGGTGCACTGAATAACATTTCCTATCATGTAAACTAGAATATGAGACCAAAGTTTATGTATATGAGATAGTGTTTAATTGGAAGGAAGTGGAGGAAAAGAGATAATTTTTTTAAAAAAAATTTCTTGTTTGACTCAAGTTTTATAGGAGGATAATAAGAGAAATAGAAGATAACAAAATTTTTCTTCATATAATTTTAACTCCTCTCCAATATTGAAGAGATTTGGATGGAAAGAATTTTAATGCATTTCGAATGTAATGGCTAAAATAGTTTTATTTATGTTATGAAATTTAAAATTATAAGAGGATAACGGCAAATTAGTAGTTAAAATATATTCTTTCTTCTTTTGCGCTCAACAAAGAATAAGAGTTATTTCTTCTTTCTTCATTAAAATCCATTCTTTCCCCTCCTTTTAACTAAACATAATTTCTAACCCTCTTCCTTTCCCTCCCATCTTTTGAACCCAACAGCCCTAATGGTATGTTTGGATGATGAATTTATATAGAGTAATTTATTTATTTGAAGAATTTCAAATTCTTTGAGGTGAAATGCTTTGTTTGGATGAGGAATTTACAAAGAATTTGAAATTCAAGCATTTGTGAAATTCCTTAAAATAGTAGAATTTCAAATTCTCCCAAAAATGGGAGAATTTGAAATTCCTCATATTTGTTTTTCTTATTTCACCTATATATTTTATCTTATCTCTTCATTCTTTTAATTATTGGATATTCAAAAATATTTTTAAAATTATTAAATATTATCTTATATTAATTTTTAAAATTATTAAATATTATCTAATATTAATTTTTAAAATTATTAAATATTTAAAAAAGGATTAATATTTATTTTTATAAAATTTAATTTAAAAATCTCAACATATAAATATATTTTTAAAATCAATTTTACTATGATAGAATCAAATTATCATATTCAACCTAACAATTTAAAATTTAAGAAATTTGAATTGACTCATCCAAACAAAATATTTAAAGAATGATAGAAATTGAAATCAAAGTAATTCAAATACCAAGAATTTAAAATTTCTTGAATTTTTAAAATTCCTCATCCAAACACACTATAAATGTCAAGTGTATCCTACGGTTCCAAATAGTGTTAAACCAAATTTTGTTTTGCAGCAATATATTTCAGCATAGATTAATTGTTAAATATCATGTCGAGTATCATATCTAAATAATGGCACAAGTTACCACCACTAACAACCCAGAAGTCAGGAACGCATAACGCGCATCACAGAAGAAAAATAAGCTAAACATTTTATGAATTCTCACTCTATCTCATACATTTAAAATTAATATATTATGTCACCCTCAAGATAGATCATATGGTTTAGTTCCTTACCTCTCCCATAAGTTTGCCTTGTTCATCGATCAGCAGTTCATCCACCAATTTTGCAGCTGAAGGAATCAGTTAACACCTTCATATATGTACCCTTCTATAAGAAGACAACAATTATATGATGAATCCTTGTCACTACAATACAAAGAGTTTTTAGCAATATTTGAAAAATATTACCTAATTATGTATAAATGTTACTAATTTACTTTGACAACATATTATCAAATATTATATATAGTCCACGTTGCTAAAGACTTATAATAACATTTTTATACAATTAGGTAACATTTTTCAAATGTTATCAAAGTAATATTTTTGTAACATTTTAATGATATTGCTAAGTTTTTGTTAACTTTATAAAATGATAATTAATTTTAATTTAGATATTACTATTAATTATTATATTTTTATGCCTCCTAAACTCTTAGGAGTTTTTTTTAAGAGAAGATTAAAGACATTCTTAATTAGTCACTATTAATTATATATTAAATATCAAAATTCATTTATCTTAAGTATAACTATATGATTATATATACTCTTTATGAGTCATTCATTTATTCGATGTGAGACTTTAATTATGAATAACAATTAGAGATGGGAGAAATATACTTTTTTACATGATGATTTTAGAAGTAATTATAGTAACATTTTTTTTTAAAATGTTGCAAAATAACCTATGTGACATTTTTTTTACTCAATATGAAACTTTGATTTTGAAAACAATTGAAAAGAATAATATTGAAATAAAAAAAATGTTACTCTATTTATAATAATATTTTTTTTAAAATGTTGTGAAATAACCTATTTATTCAATATATAGTAACATTTTAACAAATATAAGAAAGAAAATATTGCTAAACAATTAAAATGTAGTAGCCTGTGATTTTCCTGAATGCAATGAACCATAAAAACCCATGTTGATGCTTTGAGTTTGAGCTAGCTAGCAATAGATTAGACTACAAGTTTGCAAAAGCCACCTTCACAATTAACAAGCAACATATATAGTTGATGTTGCATTTGCATCTATAAATAGCTCATGAAAGATTGTGTTGCTGCATCAATTAATCTCTTCTGTGTGTTTTATTAATAGAGATCGAGTTAAAGCATGGAGATGAGCAAAGGCAGTTCCATCCTAATTGTGATGCTATTTTTGGTATCATGTATGATCCAGGCCAATGCATATTATTACAGGCAATGTAGCACCAAAGGAACTCGTTGCTATGGAAAGTACATTAGATGTCCAGATGAGTGCCCAAGCAGTGAATCAACAGATCCTAAGGCTAAGGTTTGTCAAATTGATTGTGACAAACCTATATGCAAAGCTGTTTGCAGAAGTAAGTCAAAACCTTCTTTCATGTATTAATTAAATCAATCAAATAATATTTGTCTACCTAGTTTAACAAACAAGTTTATATAATTCGATGGCTGGATTAGCATTGTAGTTAGACATCTTGCAATTAAACATTATGGAAACGATATACTTAGTGGAAAACACATGTTCAAACCCTGTCATATATAGAAACTCGTTGGACCATTAACAATTACAATACAGTGAACAAAATTAGTCTCTGATATAGAAAATTAGGAGATACGCGCAGCAAAACAAAATAAAAATCTATATCACACCGAACATAATGTAAACAATTCTACGTGCATGATACAATTGTTAAATTTTTGTGATTTGTAGGTCGCAAACCAAACTGCAACGCGCCAGGATCAGGGTGTTATGACCCTCGTTTCATTGGTGGGGATGGGAGAGTATTCTACTTCCACGGAAAGAGCAATGAACACTTCACCTTAGTCTCAGACTCAGCCCTTCAAATCAATGCTCGCTTCATTGGACACAGGCCAGCAGGTAGAGCCCGAGACTACACATGGATTCAAGCCCTAGGAATCCTCTTCAACTCTAAAACCTTCTCACTTGAAGCCCCCAAGACACCCCAATGGAATGAAAATGTTGATCATCTCAAATTCACATACAATGGCAACCCTCTTGTTGTCCCTGAGGGCCCTCTTTCCACTTGGCACTCTCCACAAAAGGATGTGAAAGTGGAGAGAGTGGCTTCCATGAACAGTGTCATTGTCACACTAGAGGATGTTGCTGAAATATTGGTCAATGTGGTGCCTGTGACCAAAGAGGATGATACTATTCACAACTACCAAGTGCCTAGTGATGATTGCTTTGCTCACTTGGAGGTTCAGTTCAGGTTCTTTGGGTTGTCCCCTAAAGTAGAGGGTGTGCTTGGGAGAACTTATAGAGAAGATTTTGAGAATCCTGCAAAGGTTGGTGTGGCAATGCCTGTTGTTGGAGGAGAGGACACATACAGGACTACCTCCTTGCTTTCTCCAAATTGTGCTGCTTGTGTTTTCTCACACCAAACCTCATATGACAAAGAGACCACTAAAGTGAGTTCAGAGTTAATGGGCACCCTTGATTGCTCCAAGTTTTCTTATGGATTGGGAATTGTTTGCAGGAAATGAGAAACGTCATTAATTATATTACAGTGTTGGCTAGGCCACTGTCAAAAAAGTGAATAACCAAGGTTGAGGTGAAAGTCTGAAACCTTCTAAAAAATAATTATTGAACAGTGGTCACTTTCTTTGTAGTATGAGTCTGTTGCTCAATGGTGTGCAAGTCTTATTGTATTAATGTGTTTAACTTTTGAATAAGTGTATTAAAAAAAAAAATTCACCTGATCTCTGTGCCACCTGTACCAATAACTTGTTGAACACTATATCTATTATGAAAATTTCAAATTATAATACAATCTCCATTGCTACCTTCTTCCTCTTGACAGAACAGGACTTAATGATGCTCATGTAATATGGAAGCAATCCTAGTTGGGGTACAATCAAATACTAAATGTGGACACTTCTTTCGAGAATTCAAATTTTGATTCGCCACATTATAAAAACTCTAGTCTCTTTTGCTAGATTGATTTATGCAAGAGTTAGTGTGACAACTAGAATACACTCTGATTGATACCTTTCATTGTTTGAGTACAGTCAAAATCAAATACCCTATGGTTATGGTCCTCACAGATCAAAAACGGTATATGACACTAAAAAGTAAAAAAGAAAGCTCAGACATGCCACTCTTGGCTCTTGTTACAAACCAAAGGCAACAGAACCACCATCATCACCTAAGGGAACATAAAATCAGGAACTAAAGATCATTTCTCTTATGCCCAAAAAACTCGATCAATGTCTAGCAACAAAATGCATAGCTCAACTAATTGCAAAACACTAAGAATAGGGAACAACCTACTTCCCACTAGCTTCAATATCTACCCAAAGAAACACTACTATACAAACAGGTTATTATTTCTCCCATCAAACGTGTTATAATTCATGGTTGAGTAGAAGATTGAGAGAAAATGTATAAGACTGAAAAATAGAATTTACTGAATTGAGAAAAGTGACTACATTAAGCCATCTAATATGACTGATATAGAGAGTAAGCAAGAAGCCAACTAATAGGTATCTACTAACAAACTCTTAACTATTTTCTAACTAATCACAACCCTAATAAAATGAGAACCCAAACACCCACGTACTGCGTCAGAAGGTATTTTCCATGGGCAAAAATCAGACATAATAACTCAACACACACAAGGCTAAAAAATGCTCATCATTTGAGAAAAGACCAATACTCTTTACACTTAATAAGGTGACATCATATGAAACAATTAACAACAGGCATAATGTAATCAAATTGAAGCGAAGCAAGAGCCTCATGCATCTTCATTCCAAATCCAGTCACTTAAAACATTCAAACATTAATATTCTTAAAGGGGCAAAAGGCAAAAGATAATAACCAGCCGCAAATACTTCATGATTGATGCATAATATTAAGCATCACTCAACAGATATGTTTCTAGGCATCTAACAAAGAATAAAGCAGACTCTGCTGTCTTCATTGGTTGAGTGCTTTCTTCTGTGTCCGACTCATAGTCAAAAGAGATCTTCACGTTGACCAAAGTCTTATGCTCTTCCAATGCAGAAAGTTGAAAACTTGTCTTGTAGTAAGAGAAACCTTGATTCAGATAGCCCCCTTCAACCACTTGCAGCCCAAATTCATGGGAAATTTCATCAAGCTCTGTGATCTTCTCCTTCTGGTAACTTACGGGGGACACACCTAAGATACCCCACAAAGAATTACATTAGCAGTGTTGAATAAAAACATAATTTTTTTGTGATCATTAATAAGATAACATCATAACTATGAGCCCCTTTGGACCACTAAGAATGAAAGATTGAAAGAGCAATTCTCACCAGAGAAGAAAGTGAAGTGGAAGATTGTGCCAACCCCTCCATCGCCTTGGACCACTTTCACATCTTTCACAATAGTTGGTATAGCCTTTGCAATTATGACAGCCAAATCCTTGGACAGGGCTTGCCACAAGGTTTTCAACCCTACACTTACCTCTGCTTTGTTGCTGAATTCCTTTGTCATGTTTGTTCAGTACGGACTTTAATTAAAAAATGGGTGATATATATACCGATGGAAAAAAAATGCACTGTCTCTCTATTTAAAAATAAAGTATAAATAAATAAATGGTTACTTCAGGGTGGGATGTTTGAAAGAATGTTTTGAAGTAGAAAAAAGAAGAGAATAAATAAATAGACGGTTTAAATGTATTTTTAATCTCTTAATACTTAATAGTTGTGTGATTTTAATTTTTTAAGATTTTAATTGAATAATTTTAATTTTAAGTATAAGTTGTGCGATTTTAATTTTTTAATTTTTAATTGAATAATTTTAATTTTTTAATATTATAATTAGAGTTGACAATTTGGGTTATGGGTAGGTAGGGTCAGCCTGCATATAAAATTAGATTAGGCTTTAAAATAAATGACCTTAATAGAATCAAGTTATTTTGGCCTAGTTTATATTGACTCCCAACCACTTTAAATGGATCTCACTGTATCACGTTACTCATAAGCAATTTATATTATAATTTTACAATTTTTGCTCCAATGAAAATTGCTTATAAGCACCCTTACTTTTTTACAACTCATACTATATTTTTTGACAACTCACACTACACTTTATTATAAATTTTTAAAAAATTAATTATTATGAATAATATATAAATATGAATAACAAATAAAAGAAATTACATAATAAAAAAATTACAATAATAAAAAGAAGTAGCTTAGTATATCCTACAATGAAAAATTAAAAGGACTATTTTATTTGAGAAAATATTTTCTATTTTTATCTTTAAAAATAATTTTTATTTTCAAATTTTTAGATTTAGAAAACTTGTTTACTTTGAGTTCTTGTTTTCTATTTAGAAAATAGAAATACTGAAAATGTGTTTGATTTAATTATTTTTTAATAAAATTTTATGAAATGTATTTTTTTTTATAAAATATAAAATATAAAAATAGAAAATAAAATGTAAAAAATAAAAACAGAAAATAAAATATAAAAATAAAAAATAAACGTCTCTCTCGTTCCCTCTTTCTCTCTCAAGCTCTCTTTTTACTTTCTCTCATTCTCTCTTGTGGTTGGTGGCTGGCGGCTGGTGGCTGGTGGGTGTTGGCCGTGGCTGGTGGCTGGGGGCTGGTCGGGGGGAGCGCGCGCGGGGCTGAGGGGTTCGGTGGGGGGTTTTCGTGCACGCAGTTGGGGGATCCGATCGGTCGGGGGGTTTCGTGCGCGGCTAAGGATGTTCGTCCAGTCGGGGGGTTCTGCTCGCGGCTGACGAGGACGGTCAGGGGTTGCGCTCGCGCGACTGGGGGGTAACCGTGCGCGCGGCTGACGATGTTGGTTTGGGGTTTCCGCACGACAGAGGGGGTCCAGGGGGTTTCACGCGGCAGAGGTTTCCAGACATGCATGCGCTCTGAGAACATGGCCACCGAAGGGAGTCGACCAAGAGCAATAACAGGTGAGGGAAGTTTTATCAGTTTTTTTGGTTTGCAAAACACGTTCCACCTTGGATGAACCTCATCCAATCAAATCTCTTCATTTTCAATTTTACAGGGTTAAGAACCGTTGCTTCTACAAGCAACAAAGAAAAAAATTTAAAAATCGTTGATGTCACGTATGTTTACTCCAACGAGAATTTCTTGTAAGCATTGTTGCTTACAAGTAAGACACACAACAAGCACCCCCTACTAGAGGTGCTCTAAGTTCTACATGCTAAATGAGTTCAGGTTAGATTGACCCGTTAAATTAATAAATGGAATAACTTAAATTATCTTAATCTATAAATTTGAAACATATTGTAAAATAATACAATAATAATAATAATAGTCTTTCACTCTTTTGTGTTTACTTGCAAAGTTGTGGTTCCAGACTTAGAGTTAAAGTTAGAGTTAGTAGTTATGAGAGTTTTATTACTCTCTTAGTGTCCTTGATGACTTGATCCCGTGACCTATCATTTCTGTTTTGTCTATTGAAGAAGACAAAGACACACTCAAACTCGTGTTTATGCTTATGAAGTCACGATAAAAATAAGAGTAAGGATATTAATGACAAAGGCCAATTATTATGAAAAGGTTGGTCTAGTTAATGAGGTGGATAAATGCAAATGTAATAGTTGTGAAAAATTATTTACATGTAAAATTATTAGGTGTTTCAAGATAATATATAATATCAATTAATCATGTTATATTTTTATTTTTTTATCATAAAATATAGATTTATTTTTTCTAATTAGGCCAAATTTGACTCGATGGTCCTATGACTCGACATGGGTTAGATTGGCCCAAAAAAAGACGGTGTATAGATTAGGTTGGGTCAATTAAACTCAACCTATTCGATGCCTCTAATCGTAATTTTGTAATTTTATTCTCTCACATTCAATATCTAATAATTTTTGTTGATGTAATGCTAACAGTTGGCATGATGTATCAATATTTTAAATTAAATTTCTTTTAATATATTTATATTTTGTAAAGATATTAATATATACTTATTTGTATTTATGAAATTATTAGTTTATCTATAAATACAATAACAAAATTATTGATATTAATTTATATTTCAATAATATTATAATACTAATAATATATAAAATTTATTTATTTATTAATAATATATATATATATATATATATTATTTGATACATGAATCAAAATTATAATATATATGTAACTTTTAAATAAGTAAAAAAATTATATAATTTTAAAACATTATATATATAATATAATTTTAAAAATCATACAATTACAATATTTGAGAAACTAAAATTGTTTAACTAAAATCTAGATATCAAAATCGCATAACGATAATACTTGAGAGTTTAATTAAAAATTTAGAGATCATAATCACACAATTGCAATAGTTGAGAGATAAAAAAAGATGCAATTAGACTTAAATAAATAAATAAAAGATAATAAAAAATAAAGTAGTTTAGTAGTATATAGATAAATTCGTTTAAAATTTATGTATACCAAAAAGAGATATCCCATTTATTAATTTTATATATATATATATATATAATGTATGTGTGCAAAATTAAATTAATTAATAAAATTTTAATTTAAAGATGATTTTGTAAATATTATTGTATTTAATGTTAATAGGATTAAATGGTTTAAATACTCTTTTGATCTTTTTAACTTAAATTTATTTTTAATTTTAGTCTTTATTACAAATGTTTTACATTATTTCTTATGCATTAAATTTTTTACTTTTTTTTTTTTAGTTTTTATCGTCTATTGTTATATTAAACTAAAAGTAAAATTTATAATTAACTAAAGAGAAACAAAAATGATATATATATATATATATATGACTTAAGTTATTCTATTTTTTTATTTTGTTTTTTATTTGTATTTTTAATTGGAGGTTAGTTAGTCTATTTTTCTTAATTATAATTTGTTTTCTCTTGTATTACTATAACTATATATACTTGTAATTGATCATTGTTAAAAAGACTAAAAGATATTCACATATAAGAATTAAAAGAATACTTAAAGGAGATGAAATTAAGTATTAATTAAAGAAATTAAGATTTTCTTTCCAACAAATAAATAATTAAAAATATTAAAGTTAATTCAATATCAAAGGTCAATACATATATCTATATCTTTAACTTTATATTTACTAAGTGTAAGCAAAGGTATTCGGCATCCACTTAAATACATTTGTTAGTCAAATAGTCTACGATCATTATTATTTGATAACAATATTTTTAAGATTAAGAGATTTTTTTATGAGTGTTATTAATTATTTTTTAATAATATTTTAATTTTCAATTTAAGGAAAAAATATTATGTAACCAAAATAGATAATTGTTTTTATAATACTCTACCTAGACTTACTCCGTTCAATAACTCATGTTCTATATCAAATTTCAATGATCTAACTATTGAATTTAAAATTCTTAATGCATAGATTAAATCTGTAAATTTTTAAAAAATTTGAAAACTATTTGATATTTCGTTTCATTAATTCAAATCAATGTATAAAATAAATTTTATGATTATCCGTCAATTTGAATTAATGAAATAAAGTATCGAATGATTTTTAAATTTTTTAAAAATTTGCAGACTTGATATATACATTAAGAATTTTAAATTCAATGATTAGATCATTAAAATTTGATGTAGAACATGAATTATTGAAATAGTATACTCAATATTTTATGTTTGAATCATGTTGTTATCTTTATAATCTTTTATATTGTTCAAACTAAAGAAGGGAGGGGAGGGATTAAAAGTCTTGTTTGGTTAAAGAGGGGAGAGAAGGAATTTTAATGGAGGGAAGGAGAGGGGAGGTAGCTATTTTCTTGTTTGATTCACAAAGTAAAGGGAGAAATTTTAAAAATTAATTTACCTTTGTAGCCTTATAATTTTGAATTTAAAAATAAAAGGATAATTTAAACATTATACTAAAAATGCTTTAAAACCAAACTTTTATCTTCCCTCCAAACCCCCTTTTATTGGAGGAGAGCTAAAAGTAGATGATGAGGGGCTTTGTTACTCTTTATTCTCATCTTCCCCTTGTAAAAATTTAACCAAATGAGAAAAGTTTATAAAAATTTCGCCCTTCCAACCAAACACTACAAGTAGCAAAGGTTTCTCTCATTTTTCTGTTCTCGCAATACCAAACACCTCTTTTTTGTATACCTTGCATCCTTATTTTTAGGGATGACAATGAGGTGGGGTGGGTACGAGTTTCAACATTCTCATTGTTGTCCCTGTGCCTCATACAATTATACACATCCCTATTCCCATACTCGATAGATATGAAATTTGCATCTCATCCTTGTTCCCATCAAGTATCGAGTATACTTGTACTCATCTCATACCGTCCAAAAATTAATTAAATATTTTTTTTTGTAAAAATAATAAAAATAAAAATTTTCAACTTAGAGTAGCAATTACAAAATTTTAGTAATTAAGTTTCATTTGAAGTAGATTTAAAATAGAGTAAAAATTATAGAAATATCAATTAAATTCTAAAAAAATAAATTAAGTTTCTAGAAATTTAAAGAGAGTACGGAATAAGTATAGGGTGAGCTTCTCCCACAATGCTTTAGGTGTTGTCTCTTTTAATCTCGAAAGTAGATAACTAATATGTGCTCACAAATTTCTTTTGGATTTGGGTAATTATGTCCATTATTTTTCATTGATAATAGTCATCTTTTCATTTTCCAAAGCTTGATCAAAACCTTGCTACACTAAAAGGTCTTAAATGGTACACTACCAAATCATAAAATTTGTCTTACTATCATACAACAAGATCTCAAACTTTTGTGTGTTCCATGGCAAAGCTTTAATGTGATTATTGGGATCTCAAACTTTTGGTGATGGATCCATGTTTGAGCCCTTTTGTTCAAAGTCTTTATGATATAGAAAGACAACATGTCTTGTTGATGTAGGCTAGCAATGGCGTAAATATATAAAACTTATTGGCTATGATGACTAAGTTTTAAGGATCACCATTGAATACTCATAGACGCAAAAAGACTTCCTTTTGAGGGAGAACATATATACCATGCAAAAGAGATTCACACATGATAGAATTATTGGTGTGCAAGTGTGAATGAGAGACTCACATTGTATAGAATTGGATATGTTAAGTAGCATATAAATGAGGAAGGCCCATAACTTATAGTTTTGAGTTAATATGTAATGTAAAGTTCACTTATTTAATATAGAGTCACTAAATGTGTGCACAAAATATTTGTAGTCTAGAGATGAGTTTGACTAGGTGTTTGGTTCAATCACTAAATTATATAAATAAAATGCTTTTAAAGTTTTTCTATATAAATATATTTTTTGCTTTATATTCTCTCTTGAAATTATTCATAAAAGTTATTAAAAATATAAATAAATGCTTTTAGATTTATGAAATTAATTACATTAATATTTAAATTGAATCTTGGGATTAACGATATTAGTGACACATAAAAATATTTAATAACTAAATAGATGTGTGTGTCAAAAACAGTTTTAAAGTTTGAATCATATCCGTTGATCAAATTGGTTTGACTAATGCCAATCCAACCTGAGGCCAACGAAATTCTTATTTTAGGTTCCCTCTCAAAAAAAATATTTTATATTAATAATTAAATAATTTTTTAACATTTCATAATTTAAAAGTTACTTTTACATTCTTAAAAACTCACTTTAAAAACTTCATTTCTAAAAGGTATAAAATATAATTATTTTTTCAAGACTTATTTCTAAAATATTTTTACTTTTTAATCAAAATATATTATTATTAATTTTAAAAAGTATTACTTTAAAATTTATTTTAGACTAATAATATGTTGGGTCTTAAATTCGACTAGGACTCACATGAATTATTGGTTAAAACCTAATCAATTGATTACATAGCTGACCTTGTAATGACATTGATAAACAGGTGAAAATCAATATTATGTTGTTACGAAGTTGTTGAAACTCGATTCGGATGAAGTAGCTTAACCACCAAACAATATTAATCTATGATCACATATTTCTTAAACATAATATATATACTTAAAATAAATAATATTTTATTTATATTAATTATGCAATTTAACAAATAATCCGGTTTATTTGGTTCTAGTACCTTCATTAAGTCACTTACTAGTTTAAAATTTAAAACTATCATGAAAAGTTGTATAAGTATTTGATATTATATATGAATAAGGGAAAAATTATGTTTAGTAATTTGGAATTTTAGTTCTCATTAATAATGTAAATTAGGGATTTAAAATAGTTATAAATGAGGGAAAAATATTAGAAAAATTGGAAACTTATTTTTAAAAAATTTCATATTAATGATGTAATTTAAAATAATTGTAAAAATATCAACAACTTGTTAGTTTAGGTGAAATTGGACTTGATCTCCTTAAATAAGTAAGATCACATGTTTGAGTTTTGTGGATGAGAAAGATGCGATTAAGAAAGAGAATTCTATAAAAAATAATACAATTTTTGATAAAGATTAGTGATCCATAAAATTAGTAGATGTTTTATAATAATAATATAGATATCTAAATATAAATTAATGATAAACAAATATGAGATGAGTTATATATATAACAGATATTTCTACTTAAACTTATTATATTTTTTTTAAGCAAATAGTTAAACTAAGACTACATAAAAATATTTCTCTTACCTATGGTATAAATATGTGTTTGGTTTGAAATATTAATTAGTTTTAAATTTTTTTTAAAAAATTAATCGTATCCTTAATTTTTAAAAAATTGTAATTAAGTTCTCAATATTTTATATTTATTTGTAACATAGTCACTCTAGTTAATTTGTGACATTTCACACTATTATAAAAGTGACATTTTGTGATAGTTTTAGTAACTTTAGGGACCCAATTACAAAAAAATGTAAAAGATGTAAAACTTAATTATAATTTTTTTTTTAGTTTAGAGGTTTAATTAAAAATATAAAGAAATTTAAAGATCTAATGCATTAGATTTATATTTTTTATATGCTAAATTATATTCTTTGTCTTTTATCTTTATTTTTAGATTCATTTTAGTCCTTTATTTTTTAAAATGTTCATTCTAATTCTTTATTTTTTAAAAAATTTGAATTAATTTAAATTTTTTGAAATAATAATTATTTTCAATTTTGAGATACAATATTGTACTACTTTTGATTTATTTAAAATTTGTCTTATTAAATTTATTTACATGAAAATTATGCAATTCAATTGATGTTTTAACCTAGGAAACTATAAACATATTGAAAATTACTTAAAAAATATATTTCATAAAAAATTAAAAAATAATTTAAAATTATATTTTTCAATTTTATAATTACTCATTGGATTCATTTTCATGCAATTTTCACCATGTTTATGACTTCATTTTTTATCCTAACATTAGTTGCAAGCAAAAGTTTTCATGTATATGAATTTAATAAAACAAATTTTAAGTCTTAAAAATATTAAATGATTGAAAATTATTTCAAAATTGAAAATAATAACTATTTTAGAAAGATTAAATTTACTCAAATTTAAAAGATAAATGACTTAAATAAATATTTTAAAAAATACAAGATTAAAATTAATTTTAAAAAAATTAAGGAATAAAATATGATTTAACCATTTTTTTTATAAATAAATATCATTAAATTAGGATGTTATCCATGTCTCTTTAAAACACTCCTATTATAATATTTTATAACATGCATATATTTAATATGAAAGAAAAGGTGAAGAAAGAAAACATGAATACAAATATTTCTTTGTTGTTTGTAACCAGTGAATGTAAAAAAGAAATAGAAAAATGTGTTTGCCAAAAAGACTTCATCTGAATAAACAATAGGAGAATAAAATAAATGGTAAAGACATAAATATTTTAATTTTAATTTTATTTAAAAATAATATTATTAGTATAAAAATACATTGTCAACAAACTTATCGTGCATATTAATATATTATTAAATATTAATATAAAATATTTTACACTATCACAATTTTTTCACTATTATAAATATTTAAATATCATTTAATGTAATTATAATATTTTATTTAAATAGAAAGCGAGCTTTTGTTATAATTTGAACAGTTTAAAAATTTATCTATTTTCTATTGTTTCCCCTTTTTTTTTTTCTTTCTTCTTTTTTATATTTTATGGATACAAAAACAAATTATAAAACCTTCAATTTGTTTTAAACTAAAGAATCACGATCCATAAATAAAAATCATGTAAACTACAAACCACTAATTTTATCTACACATTTTGAATTTCATCACAATTAGTTAAAAACTTAGATTCGAGAAATAATTACAAAATCCTATAGCTACGTAAATCAATTGTATTACTACAATTAATGTCACACTCATACGAATCTGTAATACTACGCATTCTGAGACAAAATGCGTTAAAATTTAAATATTTACTTCCCTCGACATTGTCGCATGTACACCATTTTTGCGACATTACCCAATCGAATCAACGGGTCATCTTCATCATAAATACACTCAAATCTTAGAATGTTCATCTCGATTTTTTTTCCCACTTTTTTACATAGATATTTTTGGTATTTTTTTTTTCTTTTTTTAGAAGAGCATTTTGTATACTAAATTATTTATTATAAATTTTGGTTATAACATAATCTATTTATATATTTAAAAATATTTTTTTTAATACATTTAAATTACACATATACATATTATGAAATACACTATATAGAAACTAGTAAATTATAAATTCTACATTTAAAATAAAAATTTGGTTGAATCTAATTTGAAATTCTGGTCGACTTTTTGTTCATAATTTGAATTTCTGTTGAATTCAGTTTGAAAAGAAAAGTGGGCTTTGGGCCATTCAGTTGAGTTGACCTGCATGGTGTTATTGGCCCAATAGGCCCAATAGGTTTCGACATAAATAATACAAGCATTATATCCTATCCAAAACATAATATTAATATTCAGTTATTCCTGGTTTTGTTTACCTTCTTACCCTTCCCATGGTTACAGGTCGTGACTCCTGAGAAGAAGAGCCTTCACGTCCAATCACTGTATGCCCCTTCTCTCTCTTTCTCTTTCACTCTTTCATTCTTCGCTTTGTTTTGTTTCTCACTGCTTCAAACACTTACACAGTGCCCCTGAACTTTTCTGTTTTGCTTCGCAGAAAAAACATGATGTGAAACGGTTACAAAAAAAATTTGAAGCCTAAATAATTGTTGTAGCTAGCCTCGTGTTAATAGGGATTTTGAGTTTAATGTTGGTTGTTTTTGGTGAACTCTGCGTACTCTTTTGTTCAAATCTAGCGTAGTTTGCATGTGGTTTTGTGAGAAGAGTTGAATATTAGGACAGGCACGTTGTTGGGGTTGGGGTTGGGATTTTGTGTGGGCCCTTTGGAAGAAATGATGGAAACACCGTCTTCGAATGGATCAGTTTCGAAGCGTTCGCTGAGGAGGAAGGTGAATTTGCGGAACTATGATGAGGATCTGATGGATGAGTTGTTTGAGAAGCAGTTGGGAGGTGGTTTGAAGAAGAGGAATAGGACCAAAGAGGATATGGAGAAGGAGACTGAGGTCGAGGCCATGATTGCGATTTCGCTTGGTTTCCCCATTGATGCTTTGCTTGAGGAGGAGATTAGAGCTGGGGTTGTGAGGCAGTTGGGTGGGAAGGAGCAGAATGATTATATTGTTATAAGGAATCATATATTGGCTCTGTGGAGGGGGAATGTGAGGTTGTGGTTGAGTAAGGGGATGATTAGAGAAACTGTGAGTAATGAGTATGAGCATTTGATTAATTCTGCTTATGACTTCCTTTTGTGTAATGGATATATAAATTTTGGGGTTTCACCATCGTTTATGTCTCAGTTGCCTGAGCCGACTGAAGGGACTGTGGTTGTTATTGGTGCTGGCCTTGCTGGGTTGGCAGCAGCGAGGCAGCTCCTATCATTTGGTTTCAAGGTTGTGGTTTTGGAAGGCAGGAGCCGGCCTGGTGGTCGAGTTTATACTCAGAAGATGGGGCGCACGGGTAAATTTGCCGCCATTGATCTTGGCGGGAGTGTTATCACTGGCATTCATGCTAACCCTTTAGGGGTTCTGGCTCGACAGCTTTCTATACCACTTCATAAAGTCAGAGATAATTGCCCTTTATATAAGCCAAATGGGGCACCGGTTGATCAGGAAATGGATGCAAGCGTTGAATTCGTATTTAATAGGTTGCTTGACAAAGTTATGGAGTTGAGGCAAATTATGGGTGGGTTTGCAAGTGATACCTCCCTTGGTTCAGTCTTGGAGACTCTCAGGCGTTTGTATAATGTGGCCCGAAGTACTGATGAGAGGCAGTTGCTTGATTGGCATCTTGCGAATTTGGAATATGCAAATGCTGGGTGCCTCTCAAATCTTTCAGCAGCCTATTGGGATCAGGATGATCCTTATGAAATGGGTGGTGATCACTGCTTTCTTGCTGGAGGCAATTGGAGGTTGATTAAAGCTTTATGTGAAGGAGTTCCTATTTTTTATGGAAAAACCGTTAACACTATCAAATATGGAAATCAGGGTGTTGAGGTTATTGCTGGGGACCAAGTCTTTCAAGCAGATATTGTCTTATGCACTGCCCCTCTTGGAGTTCTGAAAAAGAAGGCCATCAGTTTTGAACCCGAATTACCTGCAAGGAAACTGGCAGCAATTGAGAGGATGGGGTTTGGGCTGCTGAACAAAGTTGCTATGGTTTTTCCTTATGTGTTTTGGGGGGAAGATCGAGACACGTTTGGATGTCTCAATGAATATACTCATCAACGTGGGGAATTTTTCCTATTTTACAGTTACCATACAGTTTCTGGAGGTCCAGCACTTCTTGCACTGGTGGCTGGTGAAGCTGCACAAGCCTTTGAATCCACAGATCCTTCCATTTTGCTCCATCGGATTTTGACTGTTTTAAAAGGTATCACATTTATTTAATGATTTGATGAAAAATTAAATGCCTATGTTATTATGTTTGTTTATTCAATTATATGGTATTGTTTGGTAGACATTTAAATGGAATGAAACTCAACATATATGTTCTGTCTTACAGTTTGCGCTTTTAATAATAGGATAAAAATAAAACTGAACACGAGCTTAAAAAGGTGATATGATTGGTTTTACTAAAAACGGCAGAAACATGATAGAATCACTTAATTAGTTTTTTATTGACAAAATCAGTGTTGTTAAATAGCTGCTATAGCACTATTGCATTGTGGAATTGCGCAGATCTGCCATTGCGGCCGCTATGATTGTTGTGAGTGACGACATGCATCTCATACTTGCTTGTCATCTTGGGCGAGTCTCTGGACAATTTAACTTTCGAGTTAATATTATGCCCTCAACACCATCCACCGTATCATATAGCATATTATTGGCTTTCCACCATTTTCTGCAATTTGCAATTGATAACACTAGACAAAAAATAACCTTAGAATTATTTAGCACTTTTGTTTTCTCCTTGCCTCTTGTGAGATTTGACAGCAAAAGAAATTACTCGTCAATAATCACCATAATTTTCCTTTTCCGTTCATCTCTCGATTTGTGTTTCCTTCCATTGATTGTGTTAGGATCTAATTGCAAGGTACGAGACTTGAGTCCCATGTTGGAAGTATGGTATTTAGTGTGAGATTTATAAGGTCTTGGGTTCTTTGACTACAACAACTAGTTTTTGTGGTGTGGTTCTCCATTCTCCCAAGGTTTTTATCAATAGGTATCAGAGTCTTTTACCATGTCTCCCAACTGCAAATGAGCGGCACAAGTGGTGGCATCGACATTGCAGTGTTTGCCTGAGACTAGTCAAAGGTGCTAGGGAACAGCCAGCCCTCGTGGGCGTTAGGATTATGGAGTGTGGTGGGATTTTAGGATCTAATTGCAAGGTACGAGACTTGAGTCCTACATTGGAAGAATGGGATTCTAGTGTGAGATTTTAAAGGCCTTGGGATCTCCAACTACAACAACTTTTGTGGTGTGATTCTGTTAACAATAAAGAAGGATGCACTGATTTAGAGGACAGGCTACATGTCGATTAATAAGTTTTGTGTGTTTCAACCTATTATCGATCCAATCCAACCTAATCATATATAATAATAATAATAATAATAATAATAATAATAATAATAATAATAATAATAACAACAACAACAATAATAATATTAATAATAATGTTTGAATGATCATTTGTTCAAGACAATATTCATTGTCACTTTTACTTAATAACAAGTTTTATGTTTTAGATTGATAGCATTCTAAAAATATAATATATTTATTTTAAATTTTATTTTGTATTAATTAATAGTTTTTTGAGTTGATAATAATGTAACAAAATAATAAATTTATTTTAGAATTTAATTTGTATCATTGTTTGCTTTATAAGTTGATAACATTAAATTTGCATCAATATATCAAATGATTTACATCTATTTTAAAATATTTTTATAAAAAATAAATAAATATAATTATGTTGACCCGATTAACCAAACTCAACCCAACCCATTTGTGATTGGGTTGAGTTTAGGTTGGATTGTATTGGGTTTTTAAAAAAATTACTCACTTTGATTTGATGGTATCCTGATCTTAAATCTATCTTAGAAAACACAGTTGCTCTTCTCAATTGATCCATCAAATCATCTATCCTACGAAGAGGGTATTTATTCTTTATGGTAAACTTATTTAATTTTCGATAGTCTACACACAACTTAAAACTTCCATCTTTCTTTTTAACTAACAAAACAGGAGCCCCCCAAGGTGATACACTAGGGCGTATGAATTATTTTTCAAGCAACTCCTCTAATTGTTTCTTCAACTCAACTAATTCAGAAGGTGACATCCTATAAGGTGCCATTGAAATTGGTCTAGATCCAGGCATTAAATCAATTGAGAATTCAATCTCTCTATCAGGTAGCAAACCAGGAATATCATTAGGAAAAACTTCAGGAAAATTTTGAACAACAACTATGCTTTTCAAGTTGACTTACTTTTTAGCTTCCATAGAAGATAAAATTAAATATCCTTGAACTTTACCCCATGAAAACTTGCTTTTTGGTTTGGATAATGAAATCGATAGGTCCTTAGAATCAGAAAACATTACAGATTTTTCTGCACAATTGAGAAGGATATGATTGGAGGATAACTATTCCATACCTAGAATCACGTCTAATTGTGATAAAGGTAAACAGACCAAATTTACAAGAAATTTTCTATCATTAATGAAAAAAGAACAATCTAAACAAACTTTATTGAAAATTACAGATTTGTTTGTAGGGTTTGAAACAATTAGATTAGTCTCTAAAGACGAAACTGACAATTGAAGGTATTGAACGCAATCATTGGAGATAAAAGAATGATTTGTGCCTGAATCATACAGTACATTCAAAGTTTTACCTTTAATGAAACATTTACCTTGTATTAGATCATTATTTTGAGCAGCTTTAGTTCCGGTCATGGTATAAACTCTCCCAGTTGTAGGTGGTCTCAATTTGGGTCCAGAAGTATTTTGTGTGTGCCTTTGGTTATCCGCACTCAGAAAACACATGACCAGGCTTTCCACACTTGAAGCAAACATGTCCTTTGAGATGACAGTCTTTAGTATAATGGCCTTGTCCACACTTAAGACACTTAACTTGGTTATTCATGGGTCTACTGGAATTTCCTGCAAATTGAGAAGATTGGGGTTTCCTTTGAGGTCGATCATAAGGTTTGCCTTCATTATTCCTTTTCTTGTTAAACTAAGGACCAAAAGATTTTGGTCTATTATCCTTATTATGATCTAAACCTTCTAGAAAACGACACTTGTGTATTAATGTGGGAAAATCAGAAATTTCTAATATCCCTACTGCCTTTCTTAATTCTGCTCTAAGTCCATCCTCAAATTTAATACACTTCATCCTCTCATCAGGGTGATAAAAGAAAACAGAATATTTTACCGATTCCTCAAACTTAGAAGCATACTCTCCTACTGTCATGTTCCCTTGTTTAATTGCATAAATTCTATTTCTTTAGCCCTCCTAACATCATTAGGAAAATATTTTTCAAAAAATTTAGCTCGAAACACTTCCCATGTAATAATTACTCCTCCTCCTTCTAATAACCTTCTAGTACTATCCCACCAATATTCCGCTTCTCTTACTAACATAAATACTGCATAGTTCACTTTTTGGTTATCATGATAGTTCATGGCTCGAAATATCTTTTCTATTTCTTTAATCCATAATTCAGCTTTTTCAGGATTATATCCTCCGTCAAAATGGGAAGGTTTATTTCTCCTAAATTCAACCAATCCTTGTGGCTCCCCCATTTCTTTAGGTCTTTGATTTCTTAACAAGGCTGCAAACATGTCTTTAATAGCTTGTACAACCTCTGTCAGTTCGGTATTTCTTCTTCCTGCCATCTAAAATTTTATAGATTAGTTTATCATACTATTAAAATGTAATGTCTAATAGTATAAATATTAATCCCGATATTATACGTATATATATAATATTTATAAATTGAAAACACATGTATATTATTAATAATGTTATACATACTAACAAACTAAAAATATTTACCACTATGTGCGTAGTTACTTACTTTTCACATATATATTACATTATTTACAGATTAGACTAGTACTTAATTATAACTTCTTTTATCTCACATACCATTTTAATTTTTTTACATTACATATTATTCTTAAAATATTTACAATACGTACATATTTACATACCATAGTTTCTTTTATACTATAAAATTTACATAGGTGGTTAAAATAAATTTGGTGGTTGAAATAAATTTGGTGGTTGAAATAAATTTACAATAGGATTCACATGATTTGCAGGAGGTAAATAAAAAGTAACAACTATAGCCCATCTATCACAATTGGAATTTCTTGATGATTTACATCTATTTTAAAATATTTTTATAAAAAATAAATAAATATAATTATGTTGACCCGATTAACCAAACTCAACCCAACCCATTTGTGATTGGGTTGAGTTTAGGTTGGATTGTATTGGGTTTTTAAAAAAATTATAGTTTTTTGAGTTGATAATAATGTAACAAAATAATAAATTTATTTTAGAATTTAATTTGTATCATTGTTTGCTTTATAAGTTGATAACATTAAATTTGCATCAATATATCAAATGATTTACATCTATTTTAAAATATTTTTATAAAAAATAAATAAATATAATTATGTTGACCCGATTAACCAAACTCAACCCAACCCATTTGTGATTGGGTTGAGTTTAGGTTGGATTGTATTGACCACCCTCTTGAATTGGTGCAGGGAAAGAAGTGACGAAGACTGGCCCGAATCACCCTTAAGTTCAACAATAACTTGATTGTAAACAAATTTCATAGTGAGAGCCTGATAATCCATAAGAATGGGCCCAAGTTGTTTTAACCATTGTGCACCCAACACCACATCTGACCCCCCCATGTCCAAAACATACAAATCCAGTTGGAAAGAATGGCCCTGAATGGATAATGCAACTGCCAAACAAACTGTATCACATGCCAACTCCTCCCCACTGCCCACTAAGACTTTGAGAGGGGAAGTGGGGGATTGGCCCAAGCCCAATTGAAGGGCCACATTCTTCTGGATAAAATTGTGAGTGCTTCCCCCATCCACTAGCACCCGAATTGGGTGATGGGCAATCTGGCCCGTGAGCCGCAGCGTCTTCGGGGCACCCGTACCCGAGAGGGCATGCAAACTAATCTGGGCTGGGTGGACCGAAGTGACGGTTGAAGGATCCACCAAACTCGGGTCAGGGTCCGCTGCTGGGAAATCTAAATCAGGGGCACTGGGTGGGTCATCATCTTCAGCGATGAGAAGAAGGAAACGAGCAGGACACCTATGAGATCTGGAATACTTCTGATCACAGTTGAAACAGAGCCCCTTTTCACGGCGATCAGCCATCTCAGCCTCGGTTAGCTGGCGGAAACGTGTCTTAGGTGGCGGGGAGGGCAACAATGGAGGAAGTGGTTTTGGTGCTATCGTTTGAGGTGGAGCAAAGGGAGTGAAGGTGCGGGAAAAAGGAGGAGAGGACCAAGGTGCACCTGGTTTGGCTCGTTGGATGCGAGAGAGGTCCTGAAGCTTCTCCTCATGGAGACGCGCCAACCCGACGGCATGAGTGAGAGACGGTGGCTGTTGTGCAATCACCTCACGCCGGATCTCCGGCTTCAGCCCGAAAATGAAACAACTCAAGAGAAATTGAGGAGAAAGACCCGTCACGCGATTGGCCACAGCCTCAAACTCTGTGAGGAATGCAGAAACAGTGGTTGTCTGAGTGAGCTTGAAGAGTCTGCCGCGAGGGTCATCAAAGGCAGTGGGGGCAAATCTGGTCTCAAGAGCTTGCAACAGGTGCTGCCACGAGTGGATCTGTCCGTTCCGATACATCCACTGGAACCAGGCCAAGGCTGCACCATCAAGATAAAACGAAGCAACGGTGATGCGTTCTTCCTCCGGAGTATTATGATAATCAAAGAACTGGGTGATTTTAAAGATCCAGCCAAGGGGATCAGAGCCATCGAAACGGGGAACGTCAAGTTTAAGGAAGTGGCGGGGAGAGGGTGGGTTGTTAATGGCGTTGATGGAATGTGGAGAGGAAGGCGGTTTGGATTCCAGGTTGGAAAGGCGGTGTTGCATATCGGTCATTTGTGAGGAAAAGATGGTCATCTGACCTAGCATGTCATCTAGCTTGTCAGAGAGGTTTTTGAAGCGAGTACCGTCAGCCATGAGAGTGGCAATGAAAGCACCAAATGTTAACAATAAAGAAGGATGCACTGATTTAGAGGACAGGCTGCCTCCTAAGAAAGGAACAAGAGGAGAATGAGAATACTTTTTTCTGCCAATTCCATTCACAGTACAGGCCATATAAAGCAATAATTCTAGAAGGATTCCCCTAACACGTGGCACCATCAGGCCATACAACAATCACCAAATCTTAACTAACTTCTTCTAGAAATAAAGGGGAAAATACATAATGTAATAAAAGAGCTGCACTAATAGTGAATGAAGTCAGTCCAACCACTGGGCCTGTTGGTGACTCTTTTGGGCCTTGCATTGTCAACCGTAGCCTCACATGTAACAGATTCTTCCAAGGTTATTCTTATTAGATTGATTTCTTTTGCAATTGGGACTGTGGCATCTTCATTTTGTTGCATTTAGGTTTTCGCTGCATTTAGGATTGAGTAGATTCTTTTGTCAATTCTTGTGTAAGTTGTTTTTTGAGTGACCACGAAAACCATCCCCTATACATCATGCAATGCCAAGAACATGATTAAAGAAGATAATATGTTTTTGAGCTTTCTTGTTAAAATTGTGATTTTTCTCATGGGAGGTTGTATGATCCTACTAGTTTTCTATTCTCTCCATGCTTGATTACAATTGGGATTGCTGTAGGATTGCTAGGGAAGATTGCAAAAGCATGCCATTGTCTAGCCTTGTGCAACCTGGAACAATGTTATCAAATAACTGTTATAGCGCTCCCATAAAGGTATAAAATGGCGATTTTGAACCCCTCCGCCATTTGCTATCTGTTATTTCCTGTTATATAATGGCATCTGTCATATCCGCCATGGAACCCGCCATATCCGCCATGGCTTCACGGCGCTCATGGCGGAAGTCCCCCTCATCCTTTTCTTTTTTCTCATCTTTTCTCTTGTGAAGCTCCAGATTGCAAGCAAACAACTATGGTGAGCCTTCTTAGGCCACTAGCCTCACTGAGACTTGAACCATACCGACCTGAGCTCCAGAAAGTTTTTGACCAAAAATCTGGTGACCCATAAGAGTTCTTTTTGTTTTTTGATTGTTTTTTCTTCTTCATTCCATTTCTTTCTTCTTTTTTTTTTTTGTGTTTTTTTCCATCTATTTTTCATTTCTTCAAATGTTCATCATCTCTCTCTCTTTCTCATTTTGTGTGATTGTTCTTGTTCTTCATCTTTTCAATGTTTTTGTTCTCGATTTTTCAAAATTTTGGAATTTAGTTATCTATATTTTAGAATTTCATTATCATGTTCTGCTATGTTGTTTTCTATATTAAACCTATAATGATGTTCCCAATTTTGTTTCACTTATAGCACAATGGTAAGCAGTAAGCACCCAACTCTAAAGTCATGCATCCTAAAAGTCTTTTTTTTTTTTTAAATTAAATTTATTTTTTTTGTTTTGTTTTTAATATATATATATATTATTTTTGTCTGCCACACCATCTGCCATATGTTTATGGTGGATTTTTGGCTTTACTGCCATAGATCATTATCCGTTATTGATAACCTTGACCTGGAAGTGAAATAACCCATTGTTTGTGGGTTTTGTGCCCTAAATCCATCTTCTCTTCGTGTGTCACCATCGAACTTTGATGTTGTCTGCTTTTGATTTTGAAACCTACTGGTGCCAACATATGTCGATGTTATTCTCACTCAACACCATGAGTGTTTCTCTTTGTTTTCTCCCCTTTTGACTTGTTGGCCTCAACCTCTCAAATACCCTTTGTCTCAACCTCTATGACGCCCTTGCTGACTTGTCTTCTTTTCCCTCCCAGCCTGAGCCCTTGATCACTGCAACTTTACTTGCAGATCCTCTTGCATTGTAACACAACTGATGCTGTCATTATTATATATATATATGTATATTGTTTTTTTTTTTTTTGGAAACTCATGGAGCCTTCATTTGCAATTACTATAATAATCTGGTGAAGGCCACCCAAAAGAAGACCATCCAAAATAAACATAATCTAGTGCTTTGTTTTCCCCTCTTGTTGCTTCTCCTATGATGCTCTGTTTTCCTGCTCGCTGTCTAACAGGTAGGTAACCCACACTCTTATCCTCTTCTTTCTCTTTTCTTCTCATCCGTGTTTTGTTGTTTCTGAATTCATGTTCAATATTTTTCCTGCTCTTTTGGTGTCTAGTGTGTTCCTAATTTTCATCATATATAGCATTAATAACTGAATACAACAAAATCCTTTTCTCACTAGGTGAGGTTGGTTACATAATTGCATGATACCATTGAGCTCAATTAAAGACCAAATTCTCAGGGGTATGATTCATCATGTGATTTGTCTTAATTTCCTCTAATGTCCTTCTTGGTCTCCCTCTTCCCAGTGACACACGGCTAAAATTCATGTAATCTACTCACCTCATTGGTGCTTCTCGTGCCTTCTTTGTACATGTCCAAACCATCTTAACTGATTTTCGGTCATATTTTCCTTAATTGGTGCTGCACCAATATCTTCTTGTATAAAATGATTTCGTATTGGGTCAATTTTTGTGTGGTTGCACGTTCACCTTAACATTCTCAGTTATGTTACTTGCACCTTTTTCTTGTTCTCTTTGAAGCCCAACATTCACTGTTAGCTTAGTAAGTACTTTGCAATCACAGATATCCTTTTATGCCTTTCTCCATTTTAACCATCCAACTTGTACCCAGTGTGGCATCTCCATTGATTTTTCCATCATTTTGTAATAATGATCCCAAATATTTGAACTTAGAAGTTAGAATTTTGTGGCATGACATCTTCTCCTATTTTTACTTCCAATTCATTTTCCTTTTCTTTCTGGCTAAAATTGCAATGCATATACTTTGTCTTACTCCTATTCAGCAAAATCCTTTTGATTCCAAAGTCTGCCTCCAAAACATAAGTTTAGAGTTAACCGCATGACTTGATTCTTCTATCAAAACTATATCTTCTACAAAATCAGGCAATTAAGTATTAATAATTTAACATGCACTAAAAATTGAAAAGAGTGTTCATCCCATTAGGTGCTATCCTGCTACAGTGATTTTGGGGTGGGTGTCGCTATTTGTGATTGATAACTTTGAATCTAACAATGTGTTATGATCACAAGACTTGTGATCTTTCACCACTGTCTTGATCCTAGATAGTATCTTAATTGCCTTTTTTTTGAGATAAAAGAGGATTGCCACACACACCCTTGCCTTTTTGTATTCCATGGCTATCATTCTTTTCGTTGCAAATTAATTTCTATACCATTATTGTATGCATATATGAAAGACTTATTATTATATTGGTATATGAATTCAAATTTTGGGCCAACAAGTTGGCCTGTCCCATTATGGGCCAGCCCGCATCAAGCTAATAAATTATTTGACTATGCCAGTTTGAACCAAAATGATTTTGAGCCTAAATTTTATTAGCCCAGATTATTTTTTATATCAGGCTAATAGGGCCAACCAATCAGGCTGAACGAATTTTGTTACCGTAGTAGAAATATATATGTAATTAAAATTAGTGTTTTGTTCTTATTTATATTAGGTTAGGCTCGGTTTTATAGTTACTAAACACATTAAATGGAACAATTGTGTCCCATTCCATTCCATTTTGTTCTATTTGGGTGCCAACTGCTACCTATATAATATACTCAAGTCCCTGTTCTTGAAAATGAGATAGTCTTTGTATGTATTTTCCTTCTCTCGCTGTCATGTATTTTTCTCATTTTGTGACTTTTTCCGGTTCAATACTATGGATATTTCCATTTGCAGATTATCCCTCGCTTTCCTTGTTTCATGCGTTACTTCTTCTGCAGGAATATTTCATCCTAAGGGCATCATTGTTCCTGATCCAATACAGTCAATTTGTACAAGATGGGGCAGCGATCCCTTTTCTTATGGTTCATACTCTCATGTTAGTGTGAACTCATCCGGCAATGATTATGATATACTTGCAGAAAATGTGGGGAACCGGCTGTTCTTTGCTGGTGAGGCCACAAGCAGGCAATATCCAGCAACTATGCATGGTGCTTTCTTGAGTGGCTTGAGGGAAGCTTCACGCATTTACCGATCAGCCCGGCTTCAGCAAAACAATCCTAGGAAGTTCATGACAAAGAATATTGGACCAAACAATGATGTACTGGTTGATTTATTCAAGAGGCCTGATTTGGAATCTGGGAAATTTTCTTTCATATTTGATTCTTCATCAGAAAACCTGCAGTCAATGGGGCTTCTGCAAGTCACTTTTGGTGATGCTGAAGAAAGTTACAAGGAGCTGTTAAACAGCTACCCAAATTCCATAAAGTTGCCATTGCAGCTTTACACTATAATATCTCGTGAACAGGCGCAGAAGCTACAACAAATTGAGGGAGGGGATGAAAGCAGGTTATCATTTTTGGTAAAAAGCCTTGGCTTGAAGCTTATGGGGTCAAATGCTTTGTACAATGCAGGTAACTCATTAATAGCAACTATTGCTTATTCGCGAAAAGGGCGGGGGAGGAACCGCATGATTACCTGGTAATACCATGTCCTGAAGAGACATCAGTTTGTGCATCATGTGTTGAATTGAAACCTTGTGCTATAGACACCCTTACAAAAGAATTGCTCGAAATGAGCATGCCTTTTCTTTTCTGCTTCTGGGGTGCAAAATCTGTAAATAACATAGACTTCTGTAGATCATTGATTTGTTGCGAGAGACAGAAGTTAGTGAGATAATTTACTTTCAGAAGGAAAATCTTCAGTCTCACTTTGAGATCTTCAGTCATAGATCAGTTATGTAACCACAGGAAAATTAGTTGAAATTTGAAGACAGATATTGGTAGTTAGTCCAAGAGGGGTGAAGAATTAGTATACAGAGGGGTACAATGCCCCCTATTGTATCATTTATCCAAATTTGTGCTCATGTAGAAGTATGTAGAACTAGAAGTACTTACCCATACCCCACCCCATAGAGGACATTGCTGTTTCTATTCCCCCCCACCCCTTCCTTTTTTCTGGAGGGCCTTTGTGCCTCACTTGTACTTGTATTATATCATATAATTCTTTCTTTAATTCCTTGATTGGTCCTACACATCCATATAAGGCTTGTATATTAGTAGAATTGCTATTTGCTTCATACCTCCGATCGCTTGCGACCAACGCTAACAAGGAGAATATCAATTAAACGTGTTCCTGGGTATAGGCATCCTACCTTGGATTCTAATTGAATTTCTTGGAAGTTGCTTTTGCATGACAGAAGAAAATCATGGGGTTATCAGAACATCTGTTTGCATGTTGAGTGTTCAAACGCAGCAACAAGATGCCAAAAGTTGCTTTGAAAAATGAGTGGTTGTTTTTAACTAAAATCAAGTTTATTTCTAAAAGTTAAATTATACTTTGTCTTCTATCTTACTTTTTAAGATTCAATCTTTTAGTTTTTAAAATGTTCATTTTAATTTTTTATTTCTTAGTTTTTGATTGATTTGACCTTTTTAAAATAATATTTATTTTCAATTTTGCAACATGATTTTGAATATTTTTTTGACTAATTTAAGATTTAAAATTGGTTTCTTTGGATTTACTTATATTAAAATTATTGAATGTAATTAAAATTCAAACAATAAAGTTTCATCAATATGGTTAAAATTGCATAAACATAAGTCTTAAAAACAATTGAAAAATTTTTAAAATCTAATTTCATATTATTTTTGAATTGTTTGTGGAATATACTTTTCATGTGATTTTTATTATAATTATAACTCTTTTAAATTTGAACGTGAATTACATTTTATAATTTTTATATTTGTAAATATAATTTTACAAGTTTCTCATTTTCTACCAATCAAATTTTGATTTAAAATTTTATTATAAAATTGAAAATAATTATTTTTTTAAAAGGATCAAATTGATCCAAATATAAAATATAACATTATATGACATGAATGAATCTAAAATATAAGATAAAAGACTAAAAATATAATTTAGACATTTTAAAAATGAGTTAAAGTTAGTTCTTATAAATTATATATATATATATAGGTTAAAACTCTAATTTGGTCCCTTATAATATTTTAAAGTTTCAATTTAGTCTCACTTTAATTTTTGGTTTCAATTTGGTCCCTAATAATTTAAATTACTGCAATGTCGGACCTTCCGTCCAAATTTCTTAAACGGAGTTAACTGTTGGTCACGTGGATGCCACGTAGATGCATAAGTGGATGCCAGATTTCTTTAACGCATCTAGAACCAGAATGGCCCGTTTTGAAACCAGAATGGCCTGTTCTGCTGCACTCGTAGTGTGTTAATTTTGCATATGGATCAGATCATTCCAGATGCATTAGTTAACACAGAACGGACCGTTCCAGAACACCAACCACATACGTGCATTCAACAAAATGCAGCAATGCGGTTTAAAGATTGAAAACAAAAATTCATAACATAACATAAATTCAAAGATTGAAATATGGTTCAGAGACTGAAAACAAAAATTCAAAGACTGAAATATTGTTGTTGTTGGGGTACATCGGTCAATGATTCCAAGGGGAAACACCTTCTTGTTGCATCCTTGACTCTATAGTGTCAATTTGGTAATAAGTGGTTCACTCCAGTTTGACTGACAATGAAATAAAACCTGTCACCATTCTCCTTAGTGATACATTGCATTGCATAACAAGTATTATAATTAATACTTCTAGGAGCTCCTATATCCTACAATTGGTGCAGAAATGGTGTATAGCCCAAATGTTTAGCAATTGAAATTATCAATCCCCCATTGACAATATTATCAAATTCAATATTTGAAATACTTTGTACCTTGAGTTTTTTTTCTTGCACGATTCACAACCGTGATTTAGAATCACGGGCGTGAACTATAATCATGGATCGTTTATGGTTGGCTTTCTAGAACCAGAACGACCCGTTCTGAAACCAGAATGACTCGTTCCAGATGCAAAATTAACATACAACGAGTGCATCTAGAACGGGCCGTTCTGGTTCCAAATGCGTTATAACAATTTGACATCCACCTATGCATCTACGTGGCCAACAGTTAACTCCGTTTAAGAAATTTGGACGAAAGGTCTAATATTGCAGTAATTTAAATTATTAGGGACCAAATTGAAATAAAAATTAAAGTGGGACTAAATTGAAACATTAAAATATTATAAGGGACCAAATTAGATATTTAACCTATATATATATATATATATATATATATATACACTTACTTGTATAATTAACAATCAGAAATTAAATAGTGGCTAGTGAGCATTATAGTTTGTACACATAACAATATATAACAGAAAGTTTTGTTAAGTGAGAATAAGAGAAATGAATATTAACCATGAAATTGTGTCATAAATAGTTAAAGATCAAAATATACTCCTTTTATCCTATAATGAATGTCATGTTGTCTTGGATTATTTTATATAGAATAAAAAAAGTTAATAAATTGATGAAAGAGAATAATAATCTTACAAAATTAATCTTATGAACAATTTTCTTTATTAGAAATGATGCAATACAAAAATCGCTTTCTATATAATATTATTATGGGTATAAATGAAGAAAATATAATTAATAATCTGTTGAAAAGCTAATAAAACATTTATTTTGAGATTTTTTTTTCTTTTCATACGACACTTATAGAGGATTGAGGGAGTATAAATTTTGTGAATTTTATAAAAAACCACATAACTCTTTTAAGTGATTATATGATATTAAATTTTGATCATCTATTCAATGACTTAGATTTACTTATTTCACTCGTTTAAAAGGATTATTTTCAAATAACTTTATATGTTTTAATCTTGATTATTTATTATACTAATGATTAATACTTATATTTTTAATTTCATTAGAAAAGATTTTTACTAGATACATTTTGATATATGAGAAGTGTTAGTAACACATTCTTTTAAACAATTTCTCTCCAATTGACTAAATTTTATTGAAACACACAAAATTTGGTAGATCACACATCCTATTTAATAAGTCTCTCTCGATTTTTTAATTTTCAATAATTTTTAATTAATAAGGGTGAATGTGTTAGCACGTTTCTTCTCCCAACCACGCTCAGCGATGAAATACAAAGGATGATGAACTCCTTTTGGTGGGGTTCAAACAAAAATGTTGGTCATGGAATACACTGGTTAAACTGGGAAAAGGTATCTATGCGAAAAGAACATGGTGGCATGGGATTTCGTCATCTCCAAAGTTTCAACTTAGCCATGCTAGGGAAGCAAGGTTGGAAGTTTCTAACCAACCAAGATGCTATCTTAACTCGCGTTTTCAAGGCAAAATACTTCCCAAGAGGGGACTTTTTGGGGGCTTAGTTGGGCCACAACCCAAGTTATGTTTGGCGTAGCATCCACGCTTCACAAGCGGTGGTTAAGGGCGGCTTGAGATGGTGTATAGGTAACGGTTAATACATTCATGTATGGAGGGATCCTTGGTTGCGAATCTCTGCAACTCCATATGTGACCACACCTAGTCCACCGGGTCATGAAAACCTACTTGTATCCCATCTCATTAACACAGATTCAAGTACATGGAACCATGAGCTTCTTTCTTCATTGTTTTCCCCGTCATATGTCCCTGCCATAACTACCATACCTCTCACTCACCTTCATGAACGGGACTCCATCACTTGGAACCTCTCTAGAAAAGGTAGCTACACCGTCAAATCAGCGTATTACTATATCATGGAGTCACTTATCTCCAACTCACACCTTAGGGAACCAGGTAACTGGCTGTAACTATGGAAACTTAAGCTATCGCAAACAATGAAGATCTTCCTCTGGAGAATACTAAGAGATTGTTTACCCTCTCGCTATCGGCTACAACAACGAGGTGTGCCATGCACTATCCTTTGTGCCCACTGTAACACGGGTCTTGAAAATGAATGGCACTTATTCTTTGACTGCGTTGAAGCCCAAGCCATCTGGCATGCTTCTGGCATTTGGACTCTCATATCTCACGCTGTAAATAATGGCAACGGTTTTAAAGAGATGCTCGACCATCTACTAAATAGCCTCGGCCACGAAAGCACAGTCAAAATGGTGGTCAGCCTATGGTGTATCTGGCGGCGCCGTAATGACAAGATCTGGTCAAACACCACTACTCCTCCTCATCTTGCTATCTCCCAGGCCATGCAGAAGTTTGAGGAATGGCAGTATGCACGAGCAAAGGAACATCCTCCTCCCACACAATCATTATCTCTTGGTAGCTGGACGCGCCCACAAGTAGGCTTCCTCAAAGGAAATGTTGATGCAACCATATTTAAGGAAGACAACAAAGTGGGCTTTGGAATTTGTTTACGTGATGCAAATGGGTCCCTCATCAAGGCCAAGTCAGGCTGGTTCTACGGGGTAGCCCCGTCCCACGAAGCAGAAGCCACGGCTCTCTTAGAATCCATCTGATGGGTGTGTGATCAAGGTTATACCCATGTCATACTAGAATCAGATTCCAAACAAGTCGTGGAGGACATCCTAAACTCCAACATCTACTATTCAGAGTACGGTCACACTCTACATAGATGTCGTTCTCTACTCAACTCTCATCCAAACCTATTGGTCAGGTTCATCTGGAGACAAGCAAATCATGTCGCTCACTCCTTAGCTAGGGCGTCAAGATACTATGCTAGCTCCCATGTTTTTTATTTCATCCCAACATGTATTGCACCTTTTATTTTGAATGATATCAGTTAAGTTTATTCACCTAAATATATATATATATATATATATA